CCTCCCCGCCCCTCCCCCCCCCCCCCCACCCCCCTCTGGTTCGCCGATCGAGGCAACCAACTGCGCCAGTCAGATCCCGCTTGCGGGAAGCAGCTGTGCAACCGGCGCAAGCCCGGTGGCGGCATATCTTCGACTCGCGCGAAGCATACGCCGCCTTCAGGCTGATGAGGCTGACTGCTGAGACGTTGATGTTTGTAGACTTGAGACTTGCTGTACGCACGGCCCCGACTTTGGAAAAGCCTCGCTTCCTGGGGGCCGGTTGAATGGATGTCGAGCTAAAAGACATACATATGCCTGCAAGCTGTGGGCAGAGGTGTTGCTGGGCCAACACCCGCTTCTGTACCCGAACATACCTGCAAAAACTGTCACCGCTGTCACTTGTCAGCAGAAATATCTTCCCTCCGGATCTATACATTGCGAGGAGACGGGTGTTCTTGTGTGAGACTTCCCGGCAGCACTACCCGGCCGCGGTGAGCTGTGGGCTCTAGTGCGCACGGTGGCGCTAGCATCTGTGGTTGTGGAGATGAATACCTAGAAACCTCACTGCAATCCTCTCTTACCTCGCAGAGGGCAGAGCAAAGAAGGTGGATTTACAAGCCACCTGCGAGGCGGGGGGTAAGAGGCCTTGCGCGGACCTTTCATGGAGTTTCACAGCATCGTCGAACCAACGCAGACACAATCGTACCGTCGTCTGCAGCAGTGTGGCGAAACCCAGGAGGAGGAGCAGCGAAACACCCAGGTTCGGTCCCGCTCTGCCTGCCATCCTGAGCGGAATGCTCTTACTCCGTCACCAAGTCTCAGCTCTCTCTGGCCAAGACGGAAAGTGCCGACTCGCACCGTGCATCAAGGTCGCCCAGGAGCATCAGCAAGTGTTTACCATTTGGCGTTTGGTGGCTATCAGAGCTCAGTGGTGCCCGTATGGATATGGAGCTGTAAAATCGTAGCTTCCCACCGGTAGGGGTTGGGCAGGGGACAGACTCCCGGAGTCCGGACACCTCCGTTCCGAATCTCAGTCCAGCACTCCTTGTGTCGCTCTCCCGGGAACGCGTGCATCCGGTACAAGAATAGCGACTCCCACGTACCCAGTACTATGTAATAATTTTGAGGCCTTTTCAGTCTACAGCAGCCCGCGCAGGACTCCTGGTCGAACCCATCTCACTATAGCCCTCATTTCGACCCCATCAGACATCGTCCTTGGAGATATAAGGCACCCGTAAGTCCTCAAGCCTATTCCTCTGGGCTAAGAAAACAATAAGAAGGTATATGAACGACTCTCCGGCCATCGTGGATATGCGTTGCTCTATTCTCGGCGGTTGCTGCCGGGCTCCGAGGCGGCCTTGCAGGGGCCCTTGGGCCCTTCAGACCCCTTGAAACAGACTACCCCCCCCCCCCGGACCCCTGACCTTCGGCCCTTCAACGCCTCGCTTCCAACCACGCGTGAGCTTTCCAGCCCCTGCTCCCAAAATCTCGGCTCCCTTGGTCGACGAGTCAGTGGATAGTTTGACTTGGCAGACTTTGAGAGGTACAAAATCATCACGTCATAGTATGAAGCTGGCATATTTGTTATAAGCTATCTCACCACAGAGGTCCCTTTTGCACGGAGTTGTATTGCCAGATGCAATATTCCTTCAATCCTGAGAGCATCCTCGCACACAGCATGGACTTATGGCGACAGGTCTACCAATTCAGTGTCAAGGCACTGGAGAGGCCTCTGGTCGAGCTCTCTGCCACCACCTGGGCGTACGCCACAAAAGGCAGTTGACTTGGGTGCAGGGAGCTGGTCCACGTGTAATCGGCGGAGTCGGGAGTTTCGCTGCCACTCTCTACGAGACCACCGTTTGCAGAGAAGAATGCGTAGTACAGGGTGTCCGCAGCAGACACTCCAGTCGACACTGTAAATGTGAACCTGGGAGTACTGTAGGTGATGCTCCCAGTGATGGTTCCAAAGCTTGGCGGGGGCGGGGGGGGATCCGAGGATGGTGATGGAGGATTGAGTAGAGTTAACGGTGCGACATCGTTGAGGTCTTCGCGGTTGATGAAGGCCAGTACCGAGCCAATGCTGTAGTATAAGAACACGTAATCCATTTCCCCGTTATTGTTGATGGTGGTAACCATGCTTGATGCAGCCACTGCACCGTATGTCAACAACGTGAAGTTGGCAGAGTAGAGGCTGCACCTGATGCCGCTGGGGATGTAACCCACGGCGGTCACGACGAATGTTACGTCCACAGATGAGTCAACGATGGTGAACTCGACTGTGCCTGAAATGCTTGAGGGAGGGGGAGGACTGGGGGGTGGAGGAGGGCTGGGGGGTGGAGGAGGGCGTGGGGGGAGGGGAGGGGTCGGAGGGTGGGGGAGGGCTGGAGGGGGGAGGGGAGTGTGGGGGAGGAGGGGAATGGGGTGGTGGAACGGGGCTGGGGCTGGGAGGGAGAGGGTTTGGGGGGCCTGCAGGGGGCGGGGATGGTGAGCGGGCTGGGGTCGGCGAAGGCGGGGGGGTCTTTTTGGAGGGAGGCGGTGGCATCTTCTTTGGTGAGGGCGGCGACCTTGTGGGGGGTGGAGGGGGAGGAGACTTCCTGCTGGGGGAGAGCGGTGGTGACTTCTTGGCGGGTGGGGGTGGTGGCTTCTTGGCGGGCGGCGGGGATGGCTTCTTGGCGGGCGGGGGTGGCGATTTCTTGGCGGGCGGGGGTGGAGAGCTCTTGACGGGCGGGGGTGGAGAGCTCTTTGTGGGAGGCGGGGGGAAGGTAAGGTTCCATGCACTCTTGCGAAGCTGAAGCAAGCTGCATTCGTTGGCGACTTTCCGATCCCCAACGCTGTTGAAGCAGCGGTTGCCCTTGCCCTTGTTGGCATCTCCCCAGTTGGCAGTGCCCACGTTGGAGTTCCCTGCAGAGGTGGCACCATTGTATGAACGATAGGTCATAATCCAGGGGCAGCAGCGGCCGTGAGAATCACTCATGTCCTTTGATTCCTCTCCCAACTCTCACCTATGTTGTCATCCCCGACGTTCTTCGTGCCAAAGTTGTTCTTGCCCTTGTTGCCGGAGCCAATGTTGCCATTGCTGTCTGCCGTACAAGCTTTCTGGCCCGCCTTGAGGCACTCCACGGCCACGATGATCTCTGTGGAGCGTGGTGTCACGATCCCCAAGGGATTCAGACGGACAGCACTCGTTGGGAGGCCCATAATGTTGAGAGTGGATGTGCGAACGGATCCCGACTTGCTGAAGCCTTCATGCCTTTCGGGAAGGATGGTGGACATGCACAAGTTATGGTGCATTAGAGAGTGGCTCGTTCGAGTTCCCAGAATTCGACACAATTGCATGGTCCAGGATGTTTTTCAGACCTCAGGCACTCACTTGCAAACTCCATCCGCGCTATCCTTTGTCATCAGGTAGACGTGGGGTCCAACACTGTGGGGAGGCACTTGATCATTTTAAACTGGTGGAATGTCCAAATCTAGCCGCTCCTCAATACCCATGCGACACACCGACATTTCCAACTCTATTTCGGACCGTGTGGATGAGGGTCTGCAGCCTCAGAGGAGAGAAATGCCACCTTACCACCCTGAAACTGCTCAGATAAATGTTTGACATCGCTTACATTGCGCTGGGGAGTGCGACGAAGGTAGAGCTGCATGTCGCCTGGGTTTGGAAGTGTGCGGGGGTAAGCAATGTGAGCAGGAAGCCGTGTGGGCTCGGGCCAACCACTGAGTAGCAAACAGTCGCCCAGACTCACCGCAAAGGCGCATCTTGTCAACAGCAAAATTAATCCAGTGCTGAGAGCAGGGTTCCATGCCGTCCTCGGCATCGCCGATTTTGCGACAAATTTGTGACGCTGCCTGCGCAACCCGATTTTCTTCGCACGCGGCGTGGCACGAATCAGGGAGTTCTTATTCTTATCCATTGCAGCCAGTCAGAGAAGAAAGGGCTTCACGATATCAATTGTTATGCCTCATTAGTAGAGAGAAGGACAACTGAGCTTCATCCGGTGGAGAGTTTGCAAGCTCCGGAGACCGGGGACGAGGTACTGGTCAGAACGGAGAGAGCAACCGTGCTGTCAGCGGCACAGGTTCCGGCATCAGACATGGCTGGGAGGTGATGAGATTCTTTCTTAGCTGTGATGAAGGTGAGACTGCGGGGAATACCATCGCGCTCACCTGTTTGAGTCTCTGGAGGTACCTGGCCGGACACATGTCCGGCTCGGTGTTGTGGGGTTTTCCCTCGACCGGGCGCTTTCCCCACTTTCCACCTGTTCCCGCTCTGCACCGAGTCCACGCCTCCTTGCGACGCCTATGAAACCCGATCAACACACTGCATTCGGGGTCTCGTCTGTAACATTCCTATCTTAGGTCATATACAGCAGTCCACGTTGTAGGGTCTAACCCGCCCCCACAACATCCACCCACCCCACCCACCACCCGCCCCTCCCACCCACCCCCCCTTCCTTGAAGTGTGACAGTGACGGCCTCAGTTCCGACTGTATGTAGAACGCATTGCACATTGATGGCACAAGGCCATCGAACCATCATGAGGCTGGGAGGAAGGGGCACACCTGATCACTTACACACCCGCTTCTGCTGCGAGCTCGTTGTTCTGCACGCAAACTTGTTTCGAACGCTGAACCCTGTAACCCAGCGGGCGTCGCTCGCATCACAGATGAAACAGTCATCAATGCAAGGCAGCCAATCCTTGTCCGAAGGGATGGTGTAGGTGGAGAGTTTGGTCTGCACCCCTCCTACGGTGTGTTACAAAAAGCCTGTGAAGAAAACAGGGGATGCGCGGTCTTCCAACGTACGACCAGAGGTCCACGTGTCCCAAGCACACCTTTCACCCTCGGGCACCCAGATCGCAGTGACTCTGGCTCGCGATGTGTGATGTTGGTTGGGGGTCGCAAAACACGGCAGCAGGCAGCGGCAGCGGGGCGGTAGGTGGCAGCAGCTGATAGTAGCCGCCTCCACATTGACCGAATCTTAGTGTCGAAGGTGGGAATTGTTTGGCGCACGCCCTTGCGACCCACAATGGATAAAGGGCGAGAGCCTGGCCGACTTTGCACCGATTTCTTGTCTTGTTTGTAAATCTGAGCACTGTTTAATTTTGACGAGACCGGATCCACTCATTTCCGGCATCAGTGTCGATCCAGCGCTGTCCCTGTGCGCATTCCCCGGTCGCACCCACGCCCGAAGTCTACACCTCGCCGTGTCCCACAAACACCCTTTGCCGCCATCCTAACCATCTACAATGTCTTGGTGAGTTCCGGCGTGCGCTGGCAAGTCGAAATGTAGGATTTCACAGTTGGGTTGTCCTGAATCCGGTGGTTGCATGGACGGGATCCGACTGTATCGACATCCTCAGGGTATGGTCTCACCGTCGACTTGGAGATACATCTCGGATTTTCTCTCGTCGAAGACCATCCACGACCTTTTCACTCCACTCGATAGGGGTGCCCGGGCCATCTGACTCCTAGGTCACTCGTCGACAGCGAACCTCGTGTTGCCATAACTGAACGCCTCAGTCAGCCGTGAGTGTGATACTCTTATCGTGCAGTTGGGTTAAGGGGTGGGTGGACTGGGTCGCGTTGACATTCAGGCATAGGCGTCTCTGGCAATCTTCACCACCGGCCAACCCCCCCTTGGGGTTGCTATGACATGGAGGTCTAGCCGCAGACTGTCCTCGCATCCACTCCTTCAATAGGGTGCCTGGGGCCAGGCCGAGACAGCTCCCCAAGCTGGGCAACCGTCTGCAGCCTCGGGACTGGGTGCCCACGGCCGAGGTTGCGATCCGGCGCCGTGACTGCCTGATGCGCTGTGCGGGAAGGGAATCACGGCCCGGGGAGCGCCAACACCGCATACATCAGAATTGGTTGGCACAAGCTGCCTCTGTCTCCCTTCTGAGGTGTGACGATGTCGCTTTTGGGGGCTGGTGAGGGGCCTTGGCATGGCTGTGATCGTGGGGTGCGCGTCGTTGAGTCGATGGTTATACATGCATTGACTTAGGTATGTGCATGGGTTCGAAGCTGTAGAGGAGACAATGCAGGCCATGGGACCTTGCTCACCCTCACACCAAGCTTCGGCACCCCAGTGACGACGGCGAGCCAGCGCATCCAGGCCAAGGCACGCAACAGACCCCTTGTCCAATGGACGTTGACGTCGTGGCGGCGGATGATGCCCCCTCGACTTCGAGACCTCTTGCATCCGCTGGCCAGGTGATTGTGTTGGGTGCACTGAGTTGGTTTATTTGATTGGTGTGCGACAGGCATGGCTGTGGCGGAGTGAGGATGTGATTCTTAAGTTTGGTGTCTGCAACTTATAGGCGAATACCCACATCCCACCCCGTGTTTTCTCGCCCTGTGTCGTAGGACTCTCAGACGCCCCCTGTGCCACTCGGCGTGGTCAACAAGCTGGACGATGCGGAGAAGAGGGAACAACAGTGGCAGAATGATGCCACGGTGAACGAGTGGCGGAAGGCGCCCGGCGAGGCGGGCACGCTAGGCCGATTCAGGAAGGTTTGTGAGGACTTGGTGTGCCACTTTGGAGGGGGGGCTCCGGGGCCACTGGAGTGTCCCAAGCATGCGTGACTCTACTGATCGAGACACCCAGACACACAAACATATTGACACCGTGTGCCCGCACTATAACAAACTGTAGGCGATCGATGACTACGCCACAACCTCCATCAAGACGACCTGGAACGGCTTCCGGGATCTTCCGAAGAAGAAGACGAAGAAGAAGGAGAAGAAGAAGGAGATCAAGAAGAAGGCGCAGCAGCAGCAGCCCGTGCTGGATGCGCTGCGTCCGACCGTGGACGACGTCGTTGCGGTCATCTCCGAGTTGCGCACCGTCGGCGACCTCTTCGCCAACTTCCACGCCATCCGTATGGTGGAGGAGTTTGAGCGACGGAAGCAGGCTGACCGGGCGGACGCTGATGCGGCGCTGCAACCACTCGACGAGATATTTTTCGCCAGGTGGGTCTCCTGTGTGTTGGGGGTGGGCTGTGGGTGGGGTGGGATGTGGGTGGGTTTATCTTGTAGGCAGACAGATGCCTGGTTTCCTTGCTTGATAGGGTCCCATGTCTGCATGTGGTGTGTGCTGGTTGGATCGGGAATGCTTACAGCTGTCTGGAACACGTTGCTGCGGATGGGGTGCAGCGGCATGCGCCACAGAGCAGGTGCCGAATAACCAGCCACCCTTTCGACCCACCCACCCATTACAACCACGGCGCAGATGCATGACGCTCATTTGGCGACCTCGCAAGGCAGCCAGCACAAATGCGGGCGCCGGCGCAAGGGCGGCGTTCACGCCACTGGCCGAGTCCGTCGCTCTCTTCCGGGAGACGCTCGAGCGGACTGGCGTCACCCTTCAGCCGCCCGACCTGGAGCACATCCGCCCGTTCATCGACGAAGCGGCGGGGGACCTAGCGACAGCCACCTCTACGTACTACAAGAGGGAGCTCCTCCGCCATCTCCAGCAGAACGCCAAGCTGGAGCTAGGGGCAAAGGGAAATTGGCCACGCCACTGCGCCCGCGCAGTGCTGTCCGTCAGCTTCGCGACCCCTCTGGCGCCGACAGAAGACTCGGACGCCGCGCCCGCCCTGCCGCCCGCAGCCCCAGCGGTTGGCGCCGACGCAGCTGCGGTGCCCGTCCCAGACGCCGCGCCCGACCAGACGCCCCCGGCCCTGGACCCTGGCGTCTCCACAGCGGCCCCCAGAGCCCCGGCCGCCGCGCCCGACCAGACGCCCCCCGCCCCAGCCGCCAGCAACGTCGCAGCGCCCCCCTCAGCCCCGGCCGCCGCGCCCGACCAGCCGCCCCCAGCCCCAGCCGCCAGCAACGTCGCAGCGCCCCCCCCAGCCCCGGCCGCCGTGCCCGACCAGCCGCCCCCAGTCCCTACCACCGGCAGCGATGCAGCACCACCACCACCCTCGGGCAGGGCGGCTGCGTGGTGGCATGTGCCATTCACGCAGGAGCAGGTGGACTGGATCG